GCTAGGCTCAATCACAAATCTGACATGTACTGTCCTGTCAAGTCCATCTATACCCATAAACACCAGATAAGGCATCTGCCTTGTAATTGTCAGCCCCGACAATCTTCACAATTTCACACCTCTTCAATTCTCGTTGGAGATCATGAACTTTTAAGCAGTATAATCTCATTTTTTTGTCTTTCTTCTCGAATGTACCGTCAATCTGGCCAACCACCAACTGTGAATCACTAAAAATTTTGATGCTTTCAAGTTCGAGACTAATGGCAAGTTCCATGGCTATCATGGCAGCCTCATACTCTACTTCGTTATTGGTTTCCTCGAATTCGAACCTGAATGCACACTGAATGTCCATGAGCATGTCCGAGCTCGCGATGATGAGCCCGGAACCCGAGCCCGAGGAGTTTGATGCTCCATCCACGAAAATTTGCCAAACATCTGTTGTATTGCTCGAGCTATCATCCGGTCCCCGAGGCCTTGGGGTGAGTTCTGCAATGAAATTCGCTAAGGCTTGGGCTTTGATGGATGGACGAGGTTTGAACTCTATGTCAAACTCTCTAAGTTCAATTGCCCACTTTAGTAACTTGCCCGAGACGTCTGGCTTTTGAAGGATGTGTTTCAGAGGTAGGTTAGTGAATACCACAATGGGATGAGACTAAAAATATTATCGAAGCTTTCATGCTGCCACTATTAGGGCAAAGGCAAGTTGTTCGGCCAAAGTGTACTTGGTCTCTGCATCAAGTAGGACTTTACTCATATTGTAAATGGGTTGCTGGGCTCTGTTGACCTCTTTTACCAAGACGCTGCTCACTGCGTTTTGAGACACGGTTAAGTACAATAACAGAGTATCCCCGGGCTCCGGTTTAGTGAGGATAGGAGGAGACGCCAATGTTTGTTTGAGTTCTTGAAAAGCCCTTTCACACTCTTCATTCCATTCAAAGGATAGGCTGCGTCTAAGAACTTTGAAGAAAGGAAAGCACCTGTCCGCTGCTCGGGACATGAACCTATTTGGGGCTGCTACCCTACCTGTCAATTTTTCCACCTCTTTCTTAGTCCTGGGCGATTCCATTGCTACCAAGGCCTGGATCTTATTGGGGTTTGCTTCTATCCCCCGGTGAGTGATCATAAAGCCTAAAAATTTTCCCGAAGCTACACCGAATACACACTTCTCTGGATTGAGCTTCATCCGATATTTTTGTAGGGTGGCGAACACTTCCTCCAGGTCGGATATGTGCTGCTCTACCTTCTTACTTTTCACTACCATGTCATCAACATAGGCCTCGATATTCTTCCTGATCAAATCAACGAAGACTGTGTTGATGAGCCTCTGATATGTTGCCCCGGTATTTTTCAACTCAAATGACATTACCCTATAGCAGTATATGGCTGAATCAGCCATGAATGAAGTCTTTTCTTGGCCTTCCTTGGCCATGAGGATTTGATGATACCCCGAGAATGCATCTAAGAAGCTGTACAACTTATGTCCGGATGTGTTGTCCGCAAGATTGTCTATCCCGGGGAGTGGTAACTATCTATCCCATCGGTAAAGTCGATGCAGACTCTCCACTTACCATTGGCCTTCTTCACAAGAACAACATTAGCGAGGCAATCGGGGTATTGGATTTCCCTTGTGAACCTTGCTCTCACCAATTTGCCGACCTCTTCCTGAATAACCACATGTCTTTCAGGCACAAGCTGCATTTTCTTTTACTTGACAGGTTTGGTCCCTGAGCTTATATTGAGTCTATAGACTGTCACTTCAGGGTCTATCCCTGGCATATCATTGAACTTCCATGCAAAAACATCGATGTTGAGGAGCAGACTATTGATGACCTCTTCCTGGAGGTTGGCCATGAGATCTCGACCAATAGTTATCGTTTTTCCATGCTCGAGCTCGACCACTTCCAATTCCTCAATCGGGGAAAGTCTATCCCTTGGCTCAAGCTCGAGGTCGGAAAGTTGCAGGACGTTTGTACTCATTCTTCGAATGCTAGTAACATAGCACTGTCCGGTAGCTGTTTGGTCTCCTCGAACTACTCCGATGCCATGGCCTGTTGGGAACTTCATGGCCAGGTGAAAAGTTGATACAATGGCTTGAATCTTGTTTAGTAGGGGTCTTCCCAGAATGATGTTATAAGCCATAGAAGTGTTAACCACTTGGAAGGGTGTGATCTCCGTCACTTGTACATTGTCGAAACCCAAAGTACGCGGGAGCTCCACGATTCCTTCCAGGATAATGATTCCACCACCAAATCCCTGTAGAGAATTTTGACTTCTTTGAGCTGTTTGGGAGAGATCCCTACTTTAGTGAAAGCCTCTTGTGAGAGTATATTTGTTGCACTCCCATTATCAATCAGAATCCTCTTTACTTCGAAATTAGCTACAATTGCAGAGACGACCAGGGCATCGTCATGAGGATATGATACTCCTTCCAAATCCCTTGCCCCAAAGGTGATGTCTTTTGAGTTTATCACTGGATTCTCTTGAGGTATGAGCATGTTGGCGGGCATATTGTTTTCGTCCACTATTTGTGTCTCTTCCGGATGCTACGCCTCTAATGATAATATTAATTGTCCCGACATCAACAGTGGTTTGAGTACTGTTTCCTGCTCCAGGCTCTTTCCGATTGTCACAATCATTCCTCGGGCGTTTATCATGACCAATGTAATTCCTTAAGAGTCCTCTTTTAATGAGGGCTTCAATTTCTCGCTACAAGGCTTGACAATCCTCCGTGGTATGCCCATGATCTTGGTGAAATTCACAATACTTGCTCCTATCTCTTGTGTCAGGGGGTGACTTCATTATTGAAGGCTACTTCAACTCTTTCATATCCTTGATCTCCATTAAGATATTTACCTTGGAGGTGTTCAACCGGGTAAGAGGCCCTAGTGGGCCTTCATTCTTGCGCTTCTTCTGAGGATTCTCTAGCCGAGAAATGGGATCACGTTGCTTCTTGTTCTCGACCTTTTCGTGGGAAGGACCAGATCTCCTTAGATTCAACGTTTCCTCCATATTAATGTGTTTTTCAGCTCGAGTAAGGAGCTTGGTCACTGTCTGTGGCGGGGTCTTTGATAAGGACATCTTGAAGGCTTCATATCTTATGGCATAAGTGAGGGCGGAGACAATCGCTATGATGTGCAAGTCGGGTATTTGAAGTCTTTCCTTGTTGAACCTCATCATAAATCCTCGCAGGGTCCTTGGCGAAGTTGCATGAAAGAGGCCGCAGTTTTTCTGATTCGCTTGCTACTTGCAAAAAAGCCTGAGAACTTATCAGCCAAATCTGAGAATGAGGCTATGAAGTTGGGCTCCAATGTTGAGAACCAATCCCTAGCAACGTTTGTCAGCGTTTGCGGGAAGCCCTTGCACATAACTTGATCCGACACAACTTGCAAATTCATGACATCAGTATATACATTGAGATGATTGATTGGATCGATCGTCCCATCATACTCTTTAATGCAAGGATATTTGAATCTGTCAGGCAGGGGATATGACAATATCTCTGGGGTGAATGGAGTGTTAGGGATAAAATCCGTTGGCCTCTAAGCATTCCGTTGCAAGCCAGCTGTAATTCCTTCTTAACGATCCGAGCAATCTCTCCGGAATCCATAGCAACCGATCTCGAGCCCGAGACCATGTTACGAATACCCGAGGTACCTACTCCACCAGTTGCGAGGTTTGGTGCTCGGGTTCGAGCATCAGCCATAAAACCACCATGCCCTGCTTGCACCGGTGACAAATGCGAATTTCTTTGACTTAACAACTGCATTAGCGTGGCCACCTGCTGACGGAGCTCTTCGAAGGCTTCAATTGTGACGACCGCGGTCTGGGGTATGGGCACTCCTGACGACTCTTCTTGATGAGCCGGTTGATCTTCTGCAGGATGAGGGGATGAGAGTGGATGAGCTTGCGGGGCAAATACCTGATCGTGTGTTAACCATGACTTTTGGTAGCGTTTCCCACAGATGGCGCCAATGATGCTATAAAAAATTGTACCCGTTGATTTTTCGAGCTTGAGGAGTTTGAATTTGCACGATCGTAGTCTTCTAGTACCAAAAACAAATGCAACGAGGTATGTTCTCGTCGTCCCTCCGATACTTAAGTCAGAAAGAGAATTATGTGCGTGAGGCTATAAATTGAGAATAATCAAAACGTACCTGAAGTCTTGTTTGGGATTGTGCCAGTTGGATGTATTTATCCAATGAAGTCTTGTTTGTGAGGAATGTCCTACTCGTAATGGAACTGTTTCACTAGTGGTATTAGAGTTGATATAGAGTTCTTGGACGTTTAGGTGTCCGTTCGTTGGGCGCACACGTCTCAAAGATCTGTTAATGAATGATGACCCAAGGACATATTTTCAAGGACCATAGGGGGTGAGTTTTCGTATTCGTACGAGCAAAGTCCCCGAGATACAATCCTTGATGATTAAAAATTATCTCAAGGACTAAAAAAAAATTTTCAGGAACATTTGGCAGAAAAGTGAGGTGGAGCATGTAGGGAGTCCTTGAAGAAAAAGGTCCTTGGGTATGCAATATTGGTATTATCAGGTACCAAATGGGGCTTCAATTATAATTTTTCATATAAAATTTTATAATTTAATTAAAAGTAGATATTTTTCACCCAAAAAATGAAAAAATAAAAAAAAAGTTACAAGAATTCAATTTAATTTTTTTTATAGAAAATAGAAAGAAAGATAAATGGAATACAATCAATAGAAAAATAAATAAATTTTAATCATACATGTCCATCGAAAATTAAATAAAAGAAAAATTTTAAAAAAATTTTTTTGTGAAAATCTGCCAAAATCTCGTGATTAATGAGTGACAAATTTTAAAATATTATATGAATACATTTTGTTTAAAAGTGAGTACTCCAAAATTTTTTATAAAAATATCTAAAAGTCGTTAAAATTTAAATGTTCTATTAAAAATCTTAATTCAATACACACCCCTTAAAATAACGTATAATCGAGTGGATACTAACGTGCACACCAAAAATTGGACTCCCTGCAACCTGGTTTGAAGGTTCAACCTGGAACCGCCCGCCCATAGTTTTCACTTTTCAGGGGGTGCAAAGTCCGCTTTCTCTTCCCCTTTCTTCGCCTCATTTCCACCTATAAAATCAATCCGATTTTGTGCTGTGTTGTATTCTCTCTCTCAAATCTTTTCATCAACAAACCACATCATTACAATCTCCGTTTCCGCGTTTCAGCCGAACCGGATGGCGGAATCTACCATCACCAACTCAAAATTTGAATCAATCAGAGAATGGGTCGTTCAACACAAGCTCCGTACCGTTGGTAAGTTTTTAGATATCAAATGAACAATTATATTTCGACCTTGTCAATTACGAAGTTCATTTTCCTTGAAAAATATGCATTAATTTGGTTTTGTGAATGAAGTTTTAGGATCGAATTTTGTAGTTGTGCGCCGATGTTTATTATATTGTTTCGGGTTCCAGCTGATGCTTTGAATTTGTATTATTAAAAGGGAGTCTATGGGCGAGCGGTGTAATTGGATCCTTGGCTTACAATTGGTCTCAGCCTGGCAAGACAAGTGTCAAGATAATTCACGCTAGGTAACTATTATTCATAATTCTTCGTATCAGGGATCTAGATTTTGGAGGCCTTCAATTTATGAAATTTAAATGCAGGCTATATAGAACTGCTTTTGAACTTGTTTCGATGATTATCTAAAACTGTTTCGTCGGGCTAAAAGAGCTTTTAGAAAGCTGAGGAAGCATCCTAAGGAATCTCCTTTACAAGATGCTGAAGCCCATAAACACTTACCTATCATGTTGTAAAAGAATGCGGATTTAGATGGTCTGGCCGTTCGTGTTTATCGGTTTTCAATTCAAAGAAGCTCCTCTTCACAGGGACAATTAGATCCTATTAGAACAATTCACGAGACGGAGAAGTAGATCAAGATCAACATGGCTTGATATGGTTGAAAAGATTTGATTTTCTTTGGATCTTTTAGGCAGATGGGGTGTCTAATGAGAGATGAATATAGGAATTTTATATAGTAGATCTCGAGTTTCATTAGACACAAGTTGTAGTTTTTGTTCTTAGACATAAATATTATCACTTTGGCATTCTATATGGCATGGTAGGGTTAGTAATGCCTCCAATGATTCCTAGGTTTTCTAATATTTTAAAAATACTATACAGGAAAAATATGATTTAAACATGGATGATAATGTACAAAGGGACCTTTCCCTTCAGGAGAATAGGGCTGGGGTGGTTTTGTGTTTATAATCTGTTATTCATTTCGCTTCCTGTTTTCATTTCTCATCGTTACACAGATCATAACATGAACATTAAATGTTGGATCAGCATCCTGACTCTTTTTCTCCCTTGCTTATATGAATACAATATCCACCATCCATGGTTCTTTTTGGGAAATTTCGTTGCGTATACTAAAGAACGAAAAAAATTCAGGTTGCACGCACAAGCTCTAACGCTGGCTGCACTGGGTGGAGCTGCAGTTGTTGAGTACTTTGACCGCAAAGCTGGAAAAAATGCCGATCCACATGCCAAGTTCCTCTCGTTGAATACCTACTCACAAAAGGATTAGACAGACTACATTATGGAGGCTAGAAATGTCTCTTGCAAAAGTCCCATGTTTATACCTCTCCTAGGTCGAAAAATACAATTTTGTATTTGTAACACGTGACAATTTTTTATGTTAGGATTATTTCATTTCCATTTGAAATAATTCTTACAGGTGGCATGTCCTGTACCACGGTTTCATTTTATTATTAAATGGTCGTAAGTGAATGGTTTTTTTTTTTTTTGAAAAATTTCCGAGTTGACAGTTGAATCTTTCATACTTCTCCGAGTAATTTGTTTTTGCCTTTTTTAAGGGTAACTCCACCAAGGGTCTCAACCTTTTGTAATTGTGGCGTTGGGGTCCCCAATCTATCATTTGCGGCATCCATGTCTCCAATCTTAAAAACCTTTGTGAGCTTCATTCGGAGCTAACCGGAAAGTGCCTAATTGGAATAGCTTTATTCCTTGATGTAAATGTTAAAAGTGTGTGACTTTTCAAATGAGCACTAGTTTTTTTTTTTTTTTTTTGATCGGTAAATATAAATATATAGATAAAAAATGTACCATGTACAAGTACACCGGACATACCCAGACAAGACAATGTTCATAATTAAATAAAAGTACACCGGACATACCCGGGCGAATCAATGTCCATAAATGTACATAAAAGATCAATGATCAAAATACTAATAAACCCCATTAGCAAGAGAATCAAAACATTCGGATACAAAACGAATATAACTTTGTATACGTGTGTTTTGATTTTCCTAACAATAGATTCAACTTGCACTTTCGTACCATAAAAAACACAACAATTCCTAACCATCCAAATGTAGTAGACTGTAGTAGCAAAAGCAATCCGTTTAACGCGGCTCGGCCAACTCTTCCTCCGCACTTCTTTTTTCAACCATTTAAAAGAGCTTAGCAAAGTAGACATGAAATGCCTGATACCCAACCAAAATCTGATCTGTTTCCATATTTCGGAAGTGACCCGGCATCCAAAAAACAAGGGCTGGACAGATTCGTCCAGCACCTCACACAGTGGGCAGATACGGTCCATCTCCAAGTGCAATAGTTTGTCCCTCGTCTGGAGCTTACAATGGACAGTTAACCATAAAATAAACGCATGTTTGGGAGTGATGGAACCATCCCAAACCGTTCTGGACTAGAGAAGAAACCCCCCCCCCCCTTCGGCCTGAAGTACTCATAAGTTGCTGAAGTAGAAAAAATTCCAGAATCTATCCAGCTAAACAATCTGTCCATTTATCAAGTCCCTGTGATTTGTTTTAATCAAGTGAAATATTTTAAAGAGACATGGATGCCTTTCGGGGTTCATTTGACATCCGGCAAGACTAAGCACCATTTTAAATGGTACATTCTATTCTTCATATATATGGCACGGTGACAAAATAGTATTTTATAATGATAAATTATGGATAAAGCTCGTCACATCAATTGAAAAACCTTTGGCCTCAAAACATCGACACCGAGTTCTCAATAAAAAAATACTTATTGAATCATTATAGCTACTTAAGTCATTGCAATGTCTCTAGATATTATGTTAGTTAGCTGCTCTAAGCCACAAAACAGAATGGTGACTTTTCAAATGGCACCTTACTATTTTATTTTTATTTTTCCAAACAAACAACGTTCTCTTTATTTTTTACTCAATTATAATCTCGTGTACAACTTGCAAAGCATAAGTTACACTATCACAGACAAATACATCAATGTTACTTTTCAATCAACACCAATTAATAACGCCAACTTTTCAACCAATATCAACAAAATAAAGGAAAACAACATATCAATACCAAGCTTTCATCCAACACCTACAAATTAAAGCCAGTCAAATCAATAATTAAAAACTATATATGTGTATCAAAACAGAGCATAGGAATTATAAATTAGCCAAAAATCTGCTTCAAAGTTGTGGATCAAAATTGACATATAGCACTGTCGTCATTATGTCCAAAAATGTATAGACATGAGCACAAAATTCTCAACTTTGATATCAAATGATATAGGATAGGGTAATTGGCACAAAAAGTCCCTACCTTTCAAGTCTATTGTGGAAAACGTCCCTACCTTTCATTTTTTGGTATTTTTGCCCTCATTTCAACCTTTCTTTGCGCTGGACGTCCTTCGGTCCATATTCCGTCAGTTTTTCCGTTAATTAAAGGTAATTGGCACAAAACGTCCCTACCTTTCAAGTCTATTGTGGAAAACGTCCCTACCTTTCATTTTTGACATTTTTGCCCTCATTTCAACCTTTCTTTGCGCTGGACGTCCTTCCGTTTATATTCCGTCAGTTTTTCCGTTAATTAAATACAAAAATACCTTTTTCTTTCCATAAACAAGGGTAAAATTGTCCTCACCCACTTCACCCCTTTTTCCCGCCATCAACTTAGTTCATAAGTAACAGTAGCAGCAACATGAATCTGAAAATACTTTAAATGATTAAGTTAAATAAAGAAAAAATATCGTGAACACATTATATTTCACAATTCCACAGCTACTGTTGCTGTCATCTTGTGTCACTGGAAAAATTTAGAAAGACATATTAAATGGGTAGTCAATTTATAATGAGTCAATTTAAAATGAGCCATTCATCTTCTCCATTGAGCCAAAAAGAGCCATTCACCATTTTGGCTCATTATAAATTGACTACCCATTTAATATGTCTTTCTAAATCTTTCCAGTTACACAAGATGACAACAAAATTAGTTGTGGAATTGTGAAATATAATGTGTTCACGATATTTTTTCTTTATTTAACTTAATCATTTAAAGTATTTTCAGATTCATGTTGCTGCTACTGTTACTTATGGACTAAGTTGATGGCGGGAAAAAGGGGTGAAGTGGGTGAGGACAATTTTACCCTTGTTTATGGAAAGAAAAAGGTATTTTTGTATTTAATTAACGGAAAAACTGACGGAATATGGACGGAAGGACGTCCAACGCAAAGAAAGGTTGAAAGGTTGAAATGAGGGCAAAAATGCCAAAAAATGAAAGGTATGGACGTTTTCCACAATAGACTTGAAAGGTGGGGACGTTTTGTGCCAATTATCCTTTAATTAACGGAAAAACTGACGGAATATGGACGGAAGGACGTCCAGCGCAAAGAAAGGTTGAAATGAGGGCAAAAATGCCAAAAAATGAAAGATATGGACGTTTTCCACAATAGACTTAAAAGGTAAGGACGTTTTGTGCCAATTACCCATATAGGATATTACCACCACTTTGTCCAAAGACAATAGCTTATGACGGAAGTGCAACCTACCATATATCACCCAAAATCAAGTTCGGGATTATAGTGAATGCAACAGGGTAGTTGTCATGACATATTACTTTGTCCAAAGACAATAGTTCATTTCTTATTGTTACACACAGATCATAACATAAACTTTGAAATCTTTGATCAGCTTACTAACTCTTCCCCCCTGCTTATATGAATACAATATATGCTGTCCATGTTTCTTCTTTTCAGGTCGGAAATTTCGTTGCCTACATTAAACTCAGGAAAAAATTTCAGGTTGCACGCACAAGCTCTAACGCTGGCTGCTCTGGCTGGAGCTGCAGTTGCTGAGTACTATGACCAGAAAGCTGGAAAAATGCCGATCCACATGCTAAGTTCCTCACTTTGAATACTTATTCGCAGAAGGATCAGACAGACTACATTATGGAGGCAACAAATGTCTCGTGCAAGAGTCCCATGTTTATACCTCTCCTAGGTGAAAAATACAATTTTGTATTTGTAACATGTGACATTTTTTATGTTAGGATATTTTATTTCCATTTGTCATAATTCCTTATTTTTTTTTTTTTTATTAAGGTGTCCGCCTTCGACGACTATTCCTTGGGTCTGTGATCCGATCCCTCTTTACACAGACCAATTAAACCACGGGATGTGCCTCCTACTGACCAGGATCCGAACGCCTCTCCAACTGAACTGTCAAAGTGTCTAGTGGGCCAACCTACGTTGCGCCTTATCATTCCAAGATATTTTATTTCCATTTGTCATAATTCTTACAGGTGGCATGTCCTGTGCCATGGTTTCATTATTATTAAATGGTTCAAAGTGAATGTTTTATTTTGAAAAAAAAAATCTTATTGACAGTTAAATTTTCATAGTTTCTAAATATTTTTTAGTTTTAATTTTTAATGGTAAACTCCATCGAGAGTCCCCAACCTTTTGTAAATGTTCATGTGGCATATATGTCTCCAATCTTAAAACCTGCGTGAGCTTCATTCCGAGCTAATAGAAAGGACCTATTTGGACTATAAACTGGCATGGTAGGTATATTAGGAAAAAAAATATTATTTCAACCAAATTAATTACATTTTCTTAATTTGTGTGAAAATGGAAGCAAGTATATCTTTATCGGACAAAGGGAATGTAATATTTTCCAGAAATTTTGATGCTTTTTGTGGGGTCAATTTGACATCTTGTAACAAAACGATACTCAGCCCCTGTTTGACAAATATGATTTATATTTTAGTGATGGATGGTATAATCGATATTTTAAAAATTGACCCAACCATCGACCCCAAAATCAAAATTTTGACCGTTATTTCAATATTTCAACCATTATATTTGACCTTTTCTCACACGGGTAGGATCCACTTTTTTCTCTAATGGTCAAAAAAAAATTCTCAAATCACTACCTAACAAATCCTTAAAATTTTAATAATGGTCAAAAAATCAATTGTCAAATCACTACCGTACAAACCCTTAAAATTTTAAAAATATACATTTACAAAAATTAAAAAAATTTACATTTAAAATTTTTAAAATATACACATTTACATAGGTTGAATTACGGGTTTTTCAAAGATTGACCAATTTAACGGGTTTTGGGACAAGTTTTTAATTAGAAGTTTTATAAGCCTAACCAGACTGATTTTAGTCCCGATTTTTCCTATTGAACAAGTTAGGTTGATTCGATTTTTAAACATCGGGGATGACTAATTAAAAAGTTCAGTGATTAATAGAGTAATTTTTAAAATTCAATGACCCAGTGAAAATTTATCACAGTTTGACGATGATTCATTTTATTAACCCACTAATATATATTACTGTCACTTTGTTTGAAATCAATAACTCATTTCAAAGGTGCAATTCATCATATATCACCTAAAATCAAGCTCACAATTATATGAAATGTACCAGGGGTCGGGCGAGGTAGGTCAGGTTTGACCATTACAATCGTTGCTTTGTTTGACGTCCCATTTAATATTAATTTATTTTTAATGTTATTTATTTATATTTTAGCACAATGTGAATCCAAAGCATAAAAATAAAATAAGTAGATTTAGCCCCTGTTTGACCCCCATTTTTGGTAATGAAAATGAGGGAAATAGTGTTTTGTTGAAAAAATGAGTGGTTGAAAAAGAAGGAAAAATTTTCGATTTACGTGTAATATTATTTTATAAAAGATTGTGTGGTTGAAAATAAGAGAGAAAAAAATAGAATGTAATGAAATGTAATTTAATGGGAATCAAACAAGGGCTTAGGTTGATTTCGAAAAATTCAGGAAATTTCGTCATTCTAGTCTTATTCAGGAATGGAAAAAATTAGCATCCCTACTCGAAAAATTTGCCCAATGTGAGGCTTACCCTCGTTTAAATCATGCTCATGGATTAAAAATTCATAGCAAACGTTTCAGATACTATCATTTGCCTCGTTTGATAGATATAAGTATTCTTGAAGTTCATCCAACACTCAAAAGTTCTTTAATTTTCTCAAAATGAAATCATTTGAACGGGCCGGAGGCCATTTCAGGAGCCAAATTCAAAAATACCGGCCTGAACCAGATAGGGTTTGTCTAGGCCCAATTCATGTTTACTCTTATAAACCCTAACCCTAATTATTCATCTGCGCCATTTCGCGGCTGTTCTATCTCACCAAGCAGAATAATCAGCCTCTGGTCAGCTCGTATTACTTGTAAAAATCCATCTATTATACGTATTTATATATTTTCTGTCTTCGTTATGTCTGATTCTTACTCTAGTTTTTCTGAAATTATTTCATACTTTGTGAAGGAAGAATTTGATTGAAACTAAAGAAAATGAGTAAAGGAGTAGCAGGCGGCGCTGTGAAGGGAGGGAAGAAGAAGGCGTCGACGTTCGTGATTGACTGCTCAAAGCCGGTGGAGGATAAGATCATGGACATTGCTTCATTGGAAAAGTTCCTCCAAGAACGCATCAAGGTCGGCGGCAAGCCCGGTGCCCTCGGTGACTCCGTTACTGTCACCCGCGATAAGAACAAGATTACCGTCGTTGCCAACGAGACCAGCTTTTCCAAGCGGTAACATTATAATTTCACTACCTTTTTAGATTGATTGTGCTTTTCTAGAGCTAGATGAATGTTAGTGATTTGGTACGGTTATTTTAATTCGTTACCTGTTAATTACACGCTGGGAGAAATTAGTTTATGTTAGTTTTAATGCTTTTTCTTTTTTATAAACACGCATGAAAGTAAATTGGATAGTAAAAATGAGGTTTTGAAATTGGGTCTGGAGTCTATTGTGTTTGAATCAAGTTATTGATATTGTCAGTGGCTAACCCAGGAATGGAAGTTAGCTAGGGCAGGCGGTAGTTGACCGTCAACGTCAACGACTATAATTGTGAGGTCATCTATTAACATTTAATTAAATGATATTAAAAATTCTTCAATCTATATGTAAATGCAAAAAAACGTAAAAATTATATACATGTGAAAATATAATTCGATAGTATTAGAGGATCAATACACATAGTCTCTTACCAGACATATAATGATTAGTACGTAAATATTATTGGATTGTTTAAAGTTATTTATGAAGTACCAGAAAATTTGAATATTGAGCGCGCCATCTCTAAACATACATCCGACATCTCTAAAGAAAAGTTTCTCATCAATCACAAGTAAAACTAGTAAAAGGAAACCTAAGTTGCAGCCCAAAGGTGAGAGAGATTGGATTTCTCAGATCAAAAATTATTATAGTTAACCCCCTAGTACCATGAGAGCAAAATTATCAACTAATAAGAATTGAACATACCGCCATTGGCTATTTGTTGCATCCAGTTTCTAACATCAAATGATGATAGTTGCGACCTCGAATAAAATGCTGCCACTTGTCCATTTATGGAATTATGCAATTAGGTAAAGAGTTTGCACCTTTGGGGTTTCAATCAGAGCTTCAGCCTTTCCCAATCGCCTTAGGTTTGCCTTTTATGATTTGGGGGAAATTGAAATTTGAAAATGACCATGAATTGATTAATGATTCATTGATTTGGATTTTGGGCAATTGGATTTGGGCCTAATGTTTTTAAACAAAAAGAAGCTCATTACATTCAATTGTCATCAGCCCAAAAGAAAAAAGGGAAAAAAACACAGTCTTCTTCATTTCTTCTTCCTGCCTCTCCGACTTCCTCCATGACTGACTCTTTGCAAGTCTACAACTGCAAACCAAGCTATCGGTTGCAACATAATTTAATCATCTATCATCTAGTTTCCTTCCATTCTGCGCTCAAGCTTTTGGAGACTGCAACAATGGAACTGCAACTTCCACTCGGCGGTCCCGGCGGCTATTGAAGACTCCGACGGATCTAGCTAGGGCGGCCGCTCTAGCTCGCCAGTACCTGGATCCGCTACTGGATATTGTGCCAAAGTAATGGTCAGCTTAGTTATGCCCATAAGAAATTGACATTACTCCTCCTAAGATATACAATGATTCGGTAATGTTTGGTCTAAGTAAAAAATGATTTTTGAGGGGAAGATTATACTCATAGTTCCGCAATCCTTTATATAAGCATTGTGCAGACATGCACATCCATGTGAAGCTACAAGAAAGACCTTTTTCTCAAGTTTCTTTGTTATTTATGAACAGATATTCCTATAAAGTGGTAATTTGATAGGATAATTAGAAGAATTTGAGATATCGAAATTGGCTTTGTATAGTTTTATTTCGCTATCCATGTCATCCTATATTAGTTAACATTTTCAATCTTTCGAGGGAGAAACTTGTATTTGTTGGGGAAGTTCAGATTTAGATCTTTGACCTTAAATGGGTAGAGGGAGCTGAATAATGATTAATGAATAAAGGAGCTACTTTCATGTCATTAAGGGATTATTGAGGATTTGCTTAGTCCATGTTTGGCTAATTTTTTATAACTCATTTTTCAACCACACAATTCATGGGATGCACAACGTTTATCAAATTTTCAACTACATATTTTGTCAATTTCTATCAATCTGCTAAAAATCTGATTTTTAGCAAAATGTAATTTGATGCAAAGAACTACATTGTTTATCTTTTGGCCTTTTTTTGGACAATAACACAAGCTTAAGTGCAAGCAGAAGCTATTTTCACGGGAAGTAATGTTTGCAGCGGTGTTTATTTTGACACAAGGATTACTTTTGCAAATTACTTGGTTTGTCGATGCTATTTCATATACGTGTTTGTTATTTCTTATTCAGTGATGCAATTAACTGGCTTGTTATTCTGATAATCATTTGGTGCTCAGGTACTTGAAGTATTTGACGAAGAAATATCTGAAGAAGAACAATGTGCGTGATTGGCTGCGTGTGATTGCTTCTAACAAGGATAGAAATATTTATGAGCTGAGGTACTTCAACATTGCCGAGAATGAGGTTGAGGACGAAGAGTAATGGAAGAAAACTTATTATTTATATTTCCCAAGTGGATTTTTGTTTTGCCTAATGTTGCCTGTGTTGGACATAAGTTTCAACTTTGTTTTCGGATCAAAGGGTTTACATGTTTGCTATTCTTATTTGAAATGAAAAATAGCATGTGCTATATAATGAAGTTAACTATCAGCTCGGGCCATGTTTGTGGTTGATGAGATTGTTATCACGCGAATGGTTATGATTTGCTTGTGGATTCTTGCTATTCTTGTATCTAGTCCATAACTGAATATGTACAAGCTGAGCTCAAGTAATGCCACGGAACTTCTACATAAATACCCGTATTCATTCATGTATATTGGTAACTCGAAGGGTTGCCATTTTCATAATAGGTTGATGCTCGAGCGGTTTGCTTTTGATTGACTACATTGGCAAGCGAAGTATTTATTCCATAATCCCTGTTTTACTAGGTCATGTAAACCAATTAATTGATGATAATATCCTTTTTGGTGGAGATTAAAATTAGAGTTTTAGTAAATTTTGATAAAAATTGATGAAATGTGATTGAAAAGTTAGGAGTCCTATTAAATATATTATTAAAATAAGTTGTTGATATTGACTCAGATTAAAATTTAAAATTTAATCCCTATAAAAGAGTGGCTTTGCTGTATAGTGGGTGTTTGACACTCATTTTCATGGAAAAATGAATTTTAAAATAGCATATTGAGTGTATTGATAAAAAAAAATAAGGAAAAGTTTTTTTTATATATGTGTAATATTATTTTAATGAAAAAGTGTGATTGAAAAGAAAAGAGAAAATGGGAATCAAAGGGGGCCATAGTTTACCTTTAATTCTTCGATGATATAGAGAGTAATCAGTTATGACACTACTCAAGTAGTACCTTGTAATTTTCCCATCGGATGTTGTCCAATCTATCTTACCGATTTCAAAGCCAATGATTCAAGAACTTATGACATAAAATTTTCATTGCTCAAAAGATTTGAATAATACCTCAATATATCATAATGATCGTTTGAGGCAAGCCATTGAGAAGTTGAAGATTGAATATCTGAATATCACAATTATCTATTGTGATTACTACATTGCCTTCGCATGGCTTCTATCTGAAGCTCGGTTTGTTGGCAAGGCAACCAAGATGGTACCGTCGTGCATTTCGTGAGGCTGATGATGTGCCAGGATTCTTGCTTGCTGGTGCATTCCAACATCGATCATGATCTGTCTTCTCATGAAATATCGAGCTTTGTGATTACATGCTCTGGTAATACATGTTCGTCATATGAAGCACTGATCCTAACATGACCTTTGCATGATCCAAAGGTCATCTCTCTCTCTCTTCATCTATATATTCACGTCGTTATTTTGTGAATTATAATGAACAACTAAGTATGAAGACCATAATATTTGATCAGACTAGCCTTTCTGATGTGATCATCATATTCTTTACTCAATTTAATCACTAAGCAGCAACTAGCCTCATTCTTGCTCTCATACTTTATATTTTATCCAAATCAAACCGAGTTTACCTTCTCGACTTCATATGCTTTCGTGGTCAGGATATTGACCGAGTTCCCATCTCCGTTTTAATCGAACAAACTGAATTCAATAGCAGTTCAAGAAGTCTCGAGTTTCAAAGGCAAGTAGCCAAAAGATCAGAAATTGGCAATGAAACATGTTGCCTCCAGGAATTCATTTATTTCCTCCTGATCATTCTATGAATGCTAAGATGGAAGAAGTTAAAACAGTACTCTTTTCAATAGTCGAAAATCTTATCTCAAAGCACGAGATAAATCCAAGAAGCATAGATACACTAATCACAAATTATAGCCTCACCAGTCCAACTCCTCTGGCTTCACACATTGTAAATAGAATTGGTCTTAGAAGCAACGTAAAGAGCTTCTATCTCTTGGGAATGGGTTGTAGCGCGGGAATTTTGAAGATAAGCTTGGCTCGTGATCTACTCAAAGTTCACAAGAATTCCATGGCATTGATTCTCAGCTTGGAGTACCATGACCACGAACATTTATCAAGGGAATGTCAAGTCAATGCTTCTTGCTAATTGCTTGCTTTGAAATGGGTGGAGCCGGGATTTTACTGTCGAACAAGAAATGTGACGGAGAGAAAGCAAAATAAGAGTTGCAACATGTAGTCAGGACTCACTCAGGTTCCAAAATTGGAGCTTACAAGTGCTTTATACAGGATTTGGACGACGATGAAAATATTGGAGTCTCTCAAGAACAATCCTTCAAATAAGGCAATACGTCCCCTTCCATTACGTACTTATACTTAGTCATGCTATGTGTACATCTGGATTGACACCCACTCACATGGGGTGGGGCCCACGGATCATAAAGTAATCACGAGTTCTACTCATGTGAGGGGTGTCATCCTGGGTGTGAACCCCCAAATGTACAAATAGCATTATTTATACGATCGCGCTACTCGTACTCGCTGCCTTACATGCCAGTTTACACGGTGGCGTGTCGCGTTTTAACGAAGTCGGGTCAAAACTTAAACCATTTATCTGGGTCAAAAACTTAAACCGGCCCACTTACTGAGCAGACATATTCATCATTTTCACTTGCACCATTATCCCCAAATCAGAGAGAACCCTTGGAGGTGAAAATTGGTTAAAAGTCCAGCACTCCATCTCAGCCGGAGTAAGAAGCCAGCGATTAATTTATCAATCGTCTCCATGTTTGGGTTTTCCAGCCTAGGTTAAGCTCGCGGTTTCCTTTTTTTTTTTTTTTTTTTGTAGTCGTAAGATGGGAGCTTCACCGTGTGCAAATCGACCGTCTCTAACGCCATCCATCGCCTCCGACGGAATCTAGCAGCACACATTATGTAAGCATGATATATTTGGCATCCATTTTCCTCGATTTTATTGTTTTTGAATAATAAAATAGTTCAAAGATTTTACAGTGGTCTGTGCTTGTAGATTACTGTAGCATAATATATGGGTCGTTTGTGTGCAGTAGCCAGGAAAGAACACTGGACTATGTCATAGCTTCGATAGAAGGGTTACTTCTTTACGGATTGCATGAAAAAAGGGCAATGCCCCCCTAGTGTAAAATTGGCTTTGTAAAGTGTTTTGAGGTTGAGAGTGAGACGAAGAACTAGGGGAAATTGTTCAATTGCTGCAGTGCTAATTGTAAATATTGGGAATTGGTCGACAATGGAGGATCAAGTAGCATTACTGTGAATGAGAATAATCATGTGGCTGTTGAGGAATTTGAACACTTCTCCCACTTGTTCCAATCTTTTTGTTGGGTAGCGGAAGAAAAAAATATTAAAAAGATTGAACATGACAATACGCAAGGCCAAGAGAAGTGCGGAAGTGGATAAAAAATGGAAGGGACCGGCATGATTAGTAGTTATGTTGTCATAAGTTTCGTTCCATACCACTTTTGACGTGTAGTATGTGTTCTTTCCAGTGTAGCTGGTGAACTATAAGAAAGTTGGTGTTTATTTGGGTGACTGTATGTAGGTGTTCTGTCTAGTGTAGTTGGTGAACTGTCTAGTGTTTGGCAAGTTGTAATTTTCAATCATTCCATCTCAGTAATGTTAATTTGTGTTCTTCACTCTAGTGTTTGGAAGTTGCTGTAATTTTCTATCATTCCATCTCAATAATTTGTTTTCTTTTACTGTGAACTCGATTAATCATATAGGTTTTGAGCATGAATAACTTTTAGCTGTCTGATGGTATGAGCACCAATGAAATTGCAATACTAACTGCAGGTATTGAGCATGAAAACTTGTAGCTGCCATTCATGAACGTTGTTTAAGAGTGGCTTTTTCCCCACTCTGATGGGAGCACATACCAGTAAACCAATCAAGCCATGTACAGCAGAAGGTAAAAAAGCAATCAAGCCATGTGTTTATCACGGAGTAATGTCCAGACTGCCAATGTAAACCAGTAGACAGTAAGAGTAACTGTACAAACTCTAAGATGATTAAATTATCAATTCCATTGTCCATGTATTCCATCATCCAGTTAAACTAAATCAATACAAAATGGCCAAACATAAGGCAATTCATCCTCTTAGGCAAGATTATTCAGTAATTATTTGTTAACTGGATTTTCTTTACTAAATCACTTGGAACAATACCATCAGCACAATAAAATGCACAAAGGAGCAGTAAAATCCAAAAGTGTGATTTCAATTATGAATTTGTTTTTCATAACAAATCAAAGGGATGATCTTCTCTCAGAAAACTTAGAAAAGTTTAGCTACAGACCAACAATGAGGGTCTTAGAGAACCTCAAGCTACTAGACAAACTACTTGTGAAGAGCACAAGAACAGTTATCTATACCGACATCTTCTGCAAGGCATGGAGGCTGAACTTTCTTATCTCTATACCAGATTAATCATCCTCGAACTAATTCGCTCAAAAAGTAATCCAACTTCTCAATGGTGATATTCGGCATCACAACAATATGAGCCACATTTCCCTCACAAGTGAGCTGCCAACAGCATCAATTATTTTCATCCAAAATCACATGTTTGCACCATGTTGGAGAGGTGCGTTTGAACTTAAACATTTCTTTTTCATCGTTGAATTTCATACCACCACGGGCACTATCACACTGTCCACTCTTTCAATTCCATCATCCATGAAGTTCACACTATCCAAATTGTTGTCATTTCTGTCTTCTAATAGAATGACATTGTCAACCTCTTCCGAATTGTCGTTGCTTGTAGTAAAAAATTCAAGTACCCAACGTTACAACTAATTCACAAAACAAATTAAGCTTTCCCAAATGGGATTACGTTACAACATAATATTCCCTAAATAAGTAAATAAAAAAAACAGAGTCATTGGCATAATATTCCCAAACATTTAAGCTTTCCCCAAACGACAAATGGGATTACGTTACAACATAGTATTCCCAAAATATGATAGTAATAACTGAGATTACTGTAATAAGTAAATAAAAAAAATATATTACAAAAATAGTAAAAAAAACATAAAAAAATCATAACACAAGTGAGTGAAAATGGGTTGACAGATTTCCTTGTAAAACAAAGTGGTCGAAAATGGGATTACGTTACAACATAGCAGCAATTTAGGTTTGTTCACATCTCAAACAAACTTTTTCTACCGTAGTGTACTGTAACCATTGATTTCGGCATTTATACATCTCAAACAAGCTTTTTCTACCTTTGTCCGTCATCGAAGATGGCGATAGCTTGAAGCTGGAACAGCTCTTTTTTACACCGCCTAATCTATGAAGACGGCGACAACTTGAAGTCGGAACAACCCTTTACCTTCAAGCCGGAGACGACGGCTTCTTGTACAGGCGGTAGGTTTCAAGAATTGGGGCCAGAGAAAGAGAAATCGCGGACAATATGCTGAGCATATTTGAATTACCCGGTGTTTTCTTATGAGTGGGTATTGTTGCCCACTTAATTACTCTCAATTGTAAAACCCGGCCCAACAATGAATATGGCAAGATTTGTTATTTATTGAAAATTCAAAATATGCTCCCTTTCCACGTCATAGTCTCATCCGGCAGGTAAAGGCAAGGGTTCAAATAGCATTATCCTATTTATGTATATTTCTACTTTTTATGTCATGGACGAAAAAATCCTTTAGGTAGCAGGGGATGCATTGAAGACGAATCTGAGGGCATTAGGCCTATTGGTGATACCCTATTCAGAGCAAATTTGATATGGCATGTCAATCGTCTGGAAGAAAATCCGTAATTCGAGCATTTTTTATTCACGCTGGGGGAAGGGCTGTAATCAAGAGCATTAAGGATAAGTTGAAGTTGACAGAAAGGGACTTTGAATTATTGAAAATGACATTATACAGGTTTGGCAACACGTCGTCTTCATCTAATGGTATTCGCTAGCCTATTTAGAAGCCAAGGGAAGAATTCGAAGGGGAGATAGAGTATGGCAGTTGGCTTTTGGGAGTGGTTTCAAGTGTAACAGTGCACTTTGGAAGTGTATTTCTGGAGTTAATTGTTACAATGGTCACTGAACTTAAGTTCATGTCTTTGATTGGTCACTGAAGTTTGAAATGTCGAATTTTAACCACTTAAGTTAGGTCCATGTCTTTGATTGGTTAATGAAGTTTAAAATGTCGAGTATTAGTCACTGAATTTAGGTCAATATTTTCGATTGTTCACTGAACTTAGGTCCATGTCTGAAATTGCTCATTGAAATTTAAAATGTCGAATTTTGGCTACTAAACTTTAGAATATGTCTTACGTTACTCATTAGTGTAACTGTTGGACTTTGAAAAATATCAAATTTACACTGAGTAATGTACAATATTTTTCAAAGTTTAGCGAGTGATGTACAATATTTTTCAAAGTTCAGTGGGGAATGTACAACATTTTCCAAAGTTCAGTGGTCAAAACTCGACATTTTAAACTTCAGTGAGTAATTGAAGACATGGATATAAGTTCAGTGGCCAAAACTCGACATTTTAAATTTCAGTGAGCAATTGAAAACATAGACCTAAGTTTCAGTGATCAAAACTCGACGTTTTAAATTTCAGTAGTCAATCAAAGACATGGACCTAAATTCAGTGACCATTGGAACAATTAACTCATGTTTCTGAGGTGAAATTAATGCCTGGCAGACAAAATTCATCTGTATCCAGTTCAAGTTCCAGACAAACTTGACCATTAAGGTAATCCAGAAAAATTCTCATTCTTAACATAAATGGAAGTTCTCTTTGAATAAATTAACATCAGATACAGGTTTGTTTAATTTTCTTATTCTTATGCTTTGTTTGATATTCTATCTGTGCAAGGTTTCCTTGTGGCAAAACTTTATTCTGGAATGCAATTGGTCGATGCTCCATGGCCTTTTTATCATTGACTATATTGGTAAGAAGTTATTTCTTCAAACATTTTCCAACAATGGATTTATTTTGTCATGATCATTAATTTTTGGTGAATAGTTTGTAAACATCTAGTTTATTGATCATGGTATTTCCACGAGAAAGTTCTTATAGCAAATCGCCAAATTTTGTTACTTGTGTCCATTTCGCAACACAACTTTCGTTCATTTATATATATATTTTTTATTTCTAACAAGAATTTGTTGACTTCAAAATCTGTCCAATTCAGTGGCTAACAGAATTTCGACCATCTCCATATCTAACAAGCTATCACCTGCACGCTATGACACAATTAGGGTGCAAAAGTCCACATAAAAAATGTCCATTTACCATTTGCACCCCGATGACCATGGCCATTGTATCCATGCCGAAGTAGAACTTGTTTAGTTTGATCGGCCAATCCAATTGACAACATTAATGTCCCATAAGCTAATGTAGGATCCCCTTTGCCATGTGCACACCATTTAATATGTATATGTGTATATATATATATATATATATATATATATATATATGGATTTAGATTATATTATCTAATTATTTTCACATAAAATTCATGCACTCGTGGTTAATAAAATGTCGTGAAAAAAATTATTTTTTCCAAGTAGCGAAGTAATTTTCATCACTAATTTTCATTAATTGCATAAATTCCATTCTCAGTAACTATACTATCACTTATTTTCAATTAGGTCATTGTATCCCAATTTTGTTCAATAGATTAATTATACATTAATTTGATTTTCATGGAATAGTTAAACTTTTTATGATTTTAATTAAAAAATGAACATCATCAAGTGTACGTGAATAAGTTTAATTTCAACAAAATAAATGGCGGACCATCCTTCTGAAGTGGAAATGAACATTCTGTCCTATTGGAACCTCCACCTTGATGCTAAACGACTTTCATTAAATGACAGTCATGTCATAGTTTTTCGTCAGTTTAAATGATAGATTGAATGAAATTATCAGATTGAAATCAAATTAAAATTCTATTACCTAAATCAATAAAAGTAAAACACAATTAGCTAATTAAAATTAAGACAAAATATAGTTACCACAAATGAAATTTTATTTATATTCCACCGCATGAAAGAACAACGGTAAACAAAGACAAATTTTAAAAAATCATATTTATTTGATTGTATGTGAAAATATTTTATCGAGTATTTTTAAAATTATATTTAATTAAATAAATAATTTGATCTCTTTTAAGTGTAACCAAACATTCTCTTGATCGAAACACGAAACATCTACAAATTTAAATGGACCATTGGGCTTACAAATTTCAACGGATAAGCTATTCAGATTATGTGTAGTGGGGGATCAAAGTACTGTGGCCCAATTATTTTCACCACAAGCAATGGGCCCAGAAGTTTATTCTTGGGCCTACTTGCACAAAAAATTTCTGGCTGGGCCTTACTATGAGCATGATTTCTTTCACAAATTGGACCATCATTGATGAGAAAATTAGACAAAATCATGTCATTGTTACATTCTCACAAATTTGTTGATAGACGTAATTTTTCACAAATTAGATATTTAATCTAAAAAATAATTAATTCAAATCTATTTATTAATAATTCAATTTATATTTTCATAAATCTTGTGAATTGGAGTCAATTATTTGAAATTTAATTTTTAAAAATTTAAATTCCTCTAATTTCAACTAATCTTACTTCAGATATGTATTATACTAATTTTATTTGAAGTTCATAAGAATAGTGATGTGATATCTTGACAAATATTTTAAAATAATGTTATTTATAAACCGTATTTATCCATCATGTGACGGTAAGGTAACTACCACATTTTCCTTTGAATTAGCGACAAGTTCTCTCTTCTAGTACTTCATTTCACTTCTCTTCTTCCCAGTTTCCTCTCCACCATCTCCTTCGCACGACCATATACATCATGTATGCTATGCTAATTCTTTAGAGGTTCTCTCTTTTTCAAGACAATGAGCAACATGTCATAGTTTTCTTTGCGTGATTAAAATAAATTAGATGATAATAACCGGTTTAAAAATAAAGATATTAAATATTTTTAGTTGTTCTATTAGTATAATAGTATGTAGTTGTACTATACATTAAAAAAAGTAAAGAGACAAAGTTTATCTCTCATCATGTTTACGTACGTTTGACCAAATTCCTGTTCAAAACATCTCTATTTTTAAAGAGTATATTCTATTATTTGGAGATCATTTATAAATTTAGAAAGTTAAAGTACTCCAATAAAGCGCTTAATATTTAACACTTAATTTTACTATTCCCAAAAAATATGTATTATTTTTCTGTATCTTTTATTTTAATTAGTTTTTCTTTAAATTATTTTATTATTTTCCTATATTGAAAATTGAAACATTTGTGAATGCATTTAATTATATCACACTCTTTAAATTAAAATATTAATTTAATGAGTCTCTTGAAGCATGATTTTAAGAGTTGACTTTTTAAAATAGAGAACATCTTATGTTTAAATAGTTTTTTGTAGATGCTTTTAATTTAGTTAAAAATCAAATATTATATAGATTTTAATAAAAGTTGATAAATGCATAATTTAAAAGTTAATAAAAGTTCTGAATTTTATAAATGTACGTTTGAAAATGATTTCGAGAAAAAATAAATTTTATAAAATGAGGTAGGCCTAAATTTTCATTAATTGTTTAGGTACTTGATGTGAGCTTGATCCATTCAAATAAATTTTCACTTTCACGTGAAAACTCATAGAAGTAAATAAATACAATCTATGGTGTGCCTAAATAAGAGGGAACAAAGGTGAAAATACAGTGTCCTTGTGCATGTAAAAATCGACCACAAACTGTCCTAAATATATAATAAAGAAGAAAAAAGAGAGAACCTCGAATTGTGTGCACATTGCGTGTAGAAAAAACCTAATAACCAGACAAAGTTATGCATATTCCTTTATCTTGTCTCTCCATTTGTTGTCAACTTGTTTACTCCATTGCTTGGATTTACTGACTAAAAACTTTGTCTGTTCATTTCAATTTCCAACAACAAAAGCAAGTAAAAAATCCCCCACTTTCTCAGGCCCAAAAAACCCTAGTACAGTTTACTTGTAATGCTTCTCTTTGACTGCCAAATCGAGTTTAATTCTTACATATCCGTATCTGAATCCAGTCTGCAGATTGGACAGCTCCTCCAAGAGCGTTTCTTCAAAATAACGTCCGTATTACACGCAGAGGTACAGCCAGACACAGGGAAAATGCTTATTGTGAGTGGGGAAGGACCTGTCAATATGGGCCCGGGCCAGTTCATAAAAGTTCAATTTGGTCCCTCAATTTTACTAAATTTTAAGTTACTTTTAAAGTTAGCCACTTGGTTAGCCAGAATTATTGCTCCTATTTTAAGGTAAATATACCACCTAATCATGTGATGACCGCAAAATATCATAACCCTCGGTTAGTACCCATTTCTAGGTAAATCTGTTACCTAATTATGTCGTGGTTGAAAAATTTAGGATGAGTAATATGCTTCGTCCAAATAAATTACGGTTACACAAAATTCATTTTCAAACTTCAAAGTTGCGACATGATTAAGAGGCATAATTGGACTGTCAATTTTTTAATTTTGAGTAGGATTGTGATGTTAAATTTAGCAACGGGAGTTGCTAGAGAGA